AAGGAAATGAATAAACATGTTGAAAGACCCATCATCTTCCCCCTCTCCAATCCTACCCGTCTTCATGAAGCCGTCCCCAAAGATCTACTTGAATGGACTCAAGGTTCCGCACTTGTAGCCACTGGCTCTCCCTTCCCTCCAGTTTTCAACCGCATCATTTCAGAAAACAATAACTGCTTTTCCTTCCCAGGCATTGGTCTCGGCGCTGTCTTATGTCGTGCTTCTCGTATTACTAAAAATATGATTGCAGCTTCCGTCGATGCTTTATCTGCAATTTCTCCCATCCTAACTGACCCCAACGGTGGCCTTCTTCCAAACCTTCATGATATTCGTACTGTCTCCCGTACTATTGCAGTCGCAGTCATTAAGCAAGCTGTTAAAGATGGCATTGCAACTGTCCAAAATGAAAAGAGTCCAGGAACTGATGAATTCATCCAAATCCCTACCGATGACGAGGCTCTTGCCGTCTGGGTCGAAAATCAAATGTGGAAACCAGAGTACCGTCCTCTCCATCAAGTTGAAGAAGAGTAATTTATTATAATTATTTAAATATCTTGTATTATCCTGTATTCTGTATATATATACTAGATTAAATTAAATTAAATTAAATTAAATTAAATTAAATTAAATTAAATTAAATTAAATTAAATTAAATTAAACACTAAATACAAGAAACCCATAAACATCTGTAGGCTTCTCCACATGCCTAACCCGAGCAAACCAAGCCGCGTCCTCATTAACTCCAGCCAAAGCCCTTCCAAGCCGCTCTGAAACTGCACTATTCCCCCCTCCCATTAAAAATGGTGCTGTTGCACTCACAATTCCTGCAAATGTTTCTGCATCTGGTCGCGAATATTCCAGCGCTGTTGCAATCACCTCCAGCGCAGCCTGAACAACACCATGAGTTTCGTCTTGGCCCTCATCTGCAGTTTGCCCCCCGACACCGACACCGACACCGACACCGCTACCGCTACCACTACCACTACCACTACCACGACCACGACCAGAATATGTAGACAACAATACCCGTACTCGAGGCCATAATGCACCCACACGTGGTGCCGCAAATTCCCCAGCTGTCCGCTGGATCTCTGCAACAACCCGGAGTGCCGTGGCTTGTTCTTGTGGCCCAGCTTCTTCATCCTCAACCACTCGTGCCACTGCCGGCCACACCTCATGTACCAGCGGTAAAAACCCCTCTGGCAGATCTTGGGTCGAAACTGCAAGCACAGGTAGTGCCATGCGTAACAAATCAAGAAGCTTGCGTCGCAACGCTCCAGACTCGTGTACCAAAAACGTCCCGGCATACGTTGCAATCTGACAAACAAGATCCCAAGCTGCTCGAGGCACAGGTGACATCCAAGGAATTTTCTCTTCCCCAGCATCCATAGTTCCTTGATTCTGTAACTCCCTTTCTAATTTGGAAGCATCATCAACATCCTCCATCTCTTCCTTTTCTCCAAACGGTTTATTCGGGTGATGTTCGTCTCCATTCAAAATATCCTCAAACTCTTGGGCTGACATGCCTTCCTTCGGTTTCCTCGCAAGTACTTCCAACAGTTCCTCAAACGTCCTCAAGTGCTCTGCATCCCGCTTCCCATTTCCTCCCTCTACCAACTTCTTTTGACCCCCAGTAACATATGCCTTGCTTGTTTCTTCAACTACTGCCCGTAATCCTTCAAATACTCCAACAACTACCCCAGAATACCCATGGTAACTATCAAGTACAGAAAACAAACTCGCAACAACGTCATCCAAATATGGCAGCACCCCAGGCCCGGCCACTCGTACCACCGTCGCAAGACTCGCCAACCCTTGCGGCGAGAAATCAAGAGCAGATAACCGCAGTGACAATGCGTCCACAACATAATCATAATTGCTCACAATAAGCGCCCGTACCCCGCCAGTATAACCGCAGCTCCTGGCAATCTGTCCTAAAGCAGCCCTTGCAGAATCTCCAACTGCACGTGCTCCTGGCGCTCCGATAAGATCCAGCAACGGATACAAAACATCTGCAAGTAAATGCTGGAACTCGGCGCCCATGTACTCTGCAACCAGCGCAATTCCACGAGCCGCCGCCGCTGTCTGTACATCTCTCAGTCTTGTTATTTGTTGTTGTTGCTGTTTCCCCACAGGCTCTTGTGCTGAATACGAGGTAGCTCCACATAAAAGGTCCACACAAAATGCATAAATTTCAGCCGCCAAGTCATCCTTCTCCTGTTGAGTAGTCACCTGCTCCCCCCCACTCTCTTCGTTTAACCAGCTGGCCACCTCTTGTCGAGCCCGCGTCTCGTGCACCGTTCCTGCAAACGCACCCACTGCCAGCCACGTACTGACCGCCGCATCGCTTGCACTCGTTTGAATGTTTCTTGCCTGCTCAACGAGTCCTTGGCATGACTGCACCCCGCGAGACTCCTCTACAAGTTGTCCAGCAAGCGTCGCGACCACCTGGCCCACTTTGGTCTGTACTCGAGAAGTTAGTGTTGTGTCCAATCCAAACTCCTCAAACGGCACGTCTTCCGCTGCTGCAAAACTCTCTTTCCCAACCCCTCCCTCAATAAGCGTCTGTGGAATCACTTTATCATTCGTCGTAAGCCGTACAGTGTCCTGGACCTGGCCTACAAACTTGTCCAGTAATATTCGCAATTCAACGCCGCTCTCCTGGCCTCCAAGAAGTGTCACTGCGGTCTCGATCGACGTCAAAATTGTTAACGCTTGGGTATCATCATGTGCCGACAATAACCGAGGCATTGCATCTACCCAAGCAAAAACTCGTTCTTGTAAAACGTCCCGGATAGTCGCATTTTTCTCCAACACTTGTTCCATTTCTGTACGAGCTTGCTGTCCAACAACAGCGTCGCCAGCGTCTCCCTGCGACGCAAGAACCAAAACAAGATCAACAAACATTGGCACACAATTATCCAGCGCTTGCGAACACTGCTTAATCACTCCAAGTGCTAAAGACAGTACTGCTGCTTGCACCTGTACCTGAGCTTTTGCTTCCTTAAATACTGGTATCACACTCAGTGCCGTCTTCAGTTGATCTTTGCTTGCACGTAGCCAAGAATCTGTCCGGATCTTGTTTGTATTTTTAGCTCTTTCTGTTTTGATTCCAGCCGCAATCTCTGCAATGCTTGTAGGCTGTCCCTTGGGCTTCAAAAGGCCAAGATCCGCGTCGTCAAATACGCTCGTAAGTAAATGCTCAAAAACTTGGAAAACAAGCGCATACACTGTATAGTGTCTGTGTGAGCCATGTTTAGGACTCAGAACTTTGCTCAGTGTTGAGACAATTCCTGGAAGCATTGTAGCAGTGGCTTCTCCAGACTTTATAACGTTAAAAAGCAAGGCGTCAAGAGCTTCCAAACTATTTCTTTGCAGTTCAACATTCGAAACTCCTGTTAACGCGCACTCGAGAAATAAAGAAACTGCTTGGCCCACTGTGGGGATCACCGTCGTATCATTTCGAAAAGCAAGTGCAGTACCCGGGGTGTTGGCAATTGCCGCACACAAGTTGGAAAGAGCCTCGCATCCTGCTGCACGACTAACCTCTGACCGATCCTTGTTGGATTTCTTGTCTACCAAAAATGTCAGCAGAATAAACAGCTGCTTGGCCATTTCCGGAACCATGGTCCGCGCCCATGCATGCTGGATCAAAAACCCCAGTACACGCTGTAAATAAACTGTACTCTTATCGCCAAGTTTGGGTTTTTGCAAAAGTCGAGCTAAAGGGAAAAATATATAATCGGCAAAATTGTCTTCAAGAATGTCGTCTGGGTTTTGAATTGACGCTAGGGCCCGGTAAAGACTCTCAAGCGCATCGGCCACTGCGCGAGATTCCGGATCAAAGTTAGGGGCTAGAGCTAGCCGTGATAATGCAACACATGGCTCTCTAACCTTACCATTGTTATTAAAAACAAACCATCAACTTGTTTTAAATACTAAACTCACCTTTGAAAATGCCGTTTTGCGTTGCTGGTCGAGCGATTCCATATTGCGGGTTACTTTGGGGCCCGGGGTGGATGTATAAAGCGGGTCTTTATGTTTGGGAAGGAGAACCAAAATAGACAGGGTAACTGTGTATATTTTATCACAACATGTAATTTCCATACCACTCAAACACAACTCTGAAAATTCTCGCTGTCCCCCTCCCCTCCGCCCCTTTAAAGCTGAAAAATTTTTCTCTCTTCTTTTTTTTTTTTTTTTCCTTTTCCTTCCTTCTTTCTGCAACCATCGACACACACAACCAAACCCTTCACATGTAAGTTTGTCATCAAACCGATGTGGGTATCACTGTTCTTGTTCAAGTTTGATATTGTAAAGATGCAGTGTTTGCATTTTACAAAACCATTCTTGACCTAGAATCGTGACACACCTGCGTCACCCGGCACTTTATGCTTTATGAATCCATAAGAAAGTTCTTTGGACACTCATATTTGCTCTCGATGGCAAATAAAAACATGCTTTTGTTAAGGTATATGTTTGAAACTAACATTTTATTATAGACAAGATGACTCGTGCCTCTGTTCTTGCTGACGCTCTTACTACCATCAACAATGCCGAGAAGGCTGGAAAGAGACAGGCTCTCTTGAGACCCTCTTCCAAGGTTATCATCAAGTTCCTTGAAGTTATGCAGAAGCATGGTATGTTTTTTTTTTTTTCCTTTTATATCTAAACTCGAGTTATAACTGAATGAGGAGCTATTTCTCAGTGCACCTTGTTTTTTATCAGCTCGAAATATCATACACGATGAGGTTTTTCAACCTGATGCTACTGTCTTCCTTTTGGAAAGTCTACCAGTTTTATCTTTGGAATCTCAATGGACATTAAAAAATCTTTTTTTAAATTATTTTTTTTTCTTTGTTACTAATTGTATACAGGCTACATTGGAGAGTTTGAGTATGTCGATGACCACCGCGCCGGCAAGATTGTTGTTCAGCTGAATGGTCGTCTCAACAAGGCTGGCGTTATTTCTCCCCGCTTCAATGTTCGCATTGACGAAATTGAACAATGGGTCACTAACATGTTACCTGCCAGACAGTTTGGTTACATTATCCTTACTACCTCTGCTGGTATCATGGACCACGAGGAGGCTAGAAGAAAGCACGTTGCCGGTAAGATTCTGGGCTACTTTTACTAGAGTGCTTTATTGTTGTTTTTTTTGTAATGACGTTTATGACTTGTAATGATTAATTAATGTTTTTTTTATTATTATTATGTACAAGGGTTGGAATAAATACTAGTTAATTCTGGTGAATTTTTTTATACGAGTCGTAGGCTTTCATGTATGATTCAGGGCTTGTGGCCAGACGAGTAGACGTTGGCGATGCTTCCAGAAATATAGGCCCGCACTTGTCTGCCAAAAACCGGACCGAGTCGTCTCGCACAATTTCCTCCACCATGCGTTCGCTGCTGATCCAAGCGCGCACAGCATCCTCTGGTGGGGCTTCAGTCTTGCCATAATCTCTAGCTCCGTATGGGTCGAACCGCGGGTCCACCTTTTTTTCCGTTTCTGTTCCGGATTCAGAAACGGGCTCAGCGTTATGACTAGCAGCAACTGCAAATGTACGGGCCACGTCGTCGCAGTACTCAAGAATATAGTCGCGCGCCACCCATGCCGGGAATAGAGTTTCGGAAATGCACTTTGCACAAGACCCGACACGCGGAAGAGCAGTCACTAATGAATCGTCTGAGTGTTTGCGTGAGAGTCGCAGAAAAGAACGTAGGGTTCCTGGTGAAAAGCAAGCACCGGGTGATAGAATGTCTTTGACAGCATCTAGGTCTTTGATTGTTTCCATTGTTGAAGTTATAAAAGTTGGTGTTTTTTTTCTTTTTCTTTTAAAAAGTGAAGGAGACTTTAAAATACTAGGGAAAAAAAAAAAAAAAAAAAAAAAAAAAATACGCTCTATTTAATATAAGAATCACGTGACTATTAATATATTTATTTTATTTTTATTTTTATTTTTTTTTAAAATTTCAAAACCTCCTAATTTTTTAGTTGCTTTTGATCAACTGAGTCTTAAACGCAATGAGTTCCGGTGTATGTACACAAAATTATAGACAATATACATTGCTAACATTTATTTTAGTCTGGAGATATCACCGAGGTTTGTTTTTGACTATCTACTGTTTTTTTTTTTTTTTTTCAAATTAAAAAAAAAAAAACTAACATTTGCAGTCCCTCTTGACGGCCTCCATTGCAGGAATCGCCGCGGCGTCATTCGAAGGCCTTATTACATGTATGTTTTTTTTTTTTTTTTTTTTTCAACTCTTAACATTGATCTTCTTCTTCTAATTCTCCAGATCCATTTGATTTCATCAAAACTCAAAATCAACTGTCACGCCGCGTAAATGGCGTCAAGTATACTTTACCTGAACCCTCTAGAATTCTTTACAGAGGTTGTTCGGCGCTTGTGCTTGGAGGATGTGTCAAGAGCATTGCTAGATACTCGGTCTATAACTCAGCAACAAAGTTTATGAGAGACAAGAATGGTGATCTTGCTGCTCCACAAGTAGTTGTTGCAGGAATGATGACTGGTATGTCTTTTTTTTTTTTTCAATCCAAAGCTATCGTATCCATCTAATTATCTAGGCTTCATCGAATCTCTCTTCATTGTTCCCTTTGAAAGTAAGTAAATAATCCTTTACATTCCAAGATTCCACTTAACATTCCATAGACGTCAAGATCCGTATGGTTGAAAAAACACTCAACCCAATCAATGCACAAGCAAACTACGATTTTGCTGTGGCCGCAGCCAATGCTGCTCTTTTGCGCCGACAAGCACTCGACGAAACTCGCTTCCCTCACATTGAATCTTCAAAGCCCTCCCCGCCTCCAGCACCAAAGTCTACCGCTACTTCCACCTCCTCAAGCCCTCGTCCCAAGAAAGTGCGTCCTCGTGCACCACTAGGTTCAACAGCCCCATCCGGCCCTGTCATTAAACCAAACCAAAAAGTTGTCCCTATATACCCCATCAACCCTAATATTAAGGGAATCTGGGGCACTATGCGTGAGATGCTAAGCGAACGTGGAGTCTTTGCATTTGTTCAAGGCTTTGCTCCTACACTTTTCCGTCAAGTCACTTTCAGCACCGTTCAGTTTACCACTTATAACTTTCTGCGACAGTTGATCCACCCACAATCTGAGGAACCCATCCCTGTGTACAAGTCACTGGGCGCTGGGCTACTATCGAGCGTGGCTGTTGTTGTTGCAACCCAGCCAATTGATCTCATTAAAACTAGAATGCAAACGTCCAACGCACGCTCCGTGTACCAGTCTACCCCACGTGCTGCTTACACCATTTTTGTTCAAGAAGGATTCACAACATTCTGGGTCGGTTCTTTCCCACGATTCATTAAAGTCACTGCTGGAAGTGCTCTCACCTTTGGCATTTACGAGGTAGTAGTTGATATGCTCAAGGTTGTGGTTAAAGAAAAACCCTTTTCATCGTCGTAAATAAATAAGTATAGTATTAAAAAAATAATTTATTTTGGGGGGAAAAAACCGTTCTACAAATTTTAAAGTCTTCTATTTTAATTGATCCAGTTGTCAATGTTGGTCAAGACACACTTCTGCTCACCAGCCTCCAGCTTGCCAATCTCAAAGACAGCCTCACCACCCTTGGTGAGTTCCTCGGTAACGGCAGCAACATTCTCGGGCTTAACAATGGCAATCATACCAATACCCATATTGAGAGTCTTACCGAGATCAGCAACAGGGACCTTACCAGCATTGGCAAACCACTTGAAAAGCTCAGGGACCTGGTAAGAAGTGACGTCAATGTTGGCGTTGAGGTGCTTGGGCAAAACACGGGGGACATTTTCAATAAGACCACCACCAGTGATGTTGGCCAGACCAAGGATCAAATCCTTCTTAATAACAGGCAAAAGCGACTTGACGTAAATTCTGGTAGGCGTCAGTAGCGATTCGCCCACAGTCTTGTTCTCGGATGTCCAGGGAGCCTTGTCGCTGTAGGACAAGTTGGAAACCTCGAGGATCTTTCTAATAAGCGAAAAGCCATTGGAGTGAACGCCAGATGAAGCAAGACCAAGAATGACATCGCCAGGAGCAAAGGCATCAAGATTGGGGAGAACCTTGGTTCTCTCAACAGCACCAACACAAGTACCGTTGCAGTCGTAATCGCCTTCGCTGTAAAGACCAGGCATCTCAGCAGTCTCACCGCCAATTAGCGCACATGCAGACTGCACACAGCCCTCAGCAACGCCGGAAACAAAGTCGGCAGCAGTCTTGCTGTCAAGCTTGCCACAAGCAAAGTAATCGAGGAAAAAGAGGGGCTCAGCACCTTGGACAATAAGATCGTTGACACTCATGGCAACAAGATCAATGCCCACAGTGTTGTGAATGCCAGTAGACTGGGCAATAATAAGCTTGGTACCGACACCATCGGTAGCACCAACCAAAAGAGCATCCTGGTAGCCAGCAGCCTTAAGATCGAAAATGCCGCCAAAACCACCAATTTCGGCGTCAGCACCGGGTCTCTTGGTGGAACGAACACTGGCCTTAATTTGCTCAACAAATCGATTGCCCTCGTCAACATCAACACCAGCCTGAGCATAAGTGATACCGGTCTGAGCATCACCCATGAGCTTCAAGTCACGGAGACCTCTGTGTGCAATATCGCGTCTAAAATACTTGCCTTCAAAGTTGACCTTGTCAACGCCCTCATAAGCAAGCTTAAGGGCACCCTCGAGGGTAGGAGCAGTAGCAGAAGAAGCAATGACACGGCCACCAGCAGTCACAATCTTGCCATCCTTAATGGCAGTGCCAGCGTGGAAAATGTAGTTGTTTTCAGAAACTTGGCCGACAGTAATGACATCGCCCTTCTTGTAAGACTCGGGGTAACCGGCAGCAGACATGACCACAGTGGCGGCATAGCCGGGAGAAATCTTAATATCAATAGAGTCGAGGCGGCCTTCAGCACAGGCAAGGAAGATCTGAGCAAGGTCAGTGTCCTTGGACAGAAGGGGGAGAACAGTTTGGGTCTCGGGGTCACCAAATCTGACATTGTATTCAAGGGTCTTGGGACCATTCTTGGTAAGCATAATACCGGTGAAGAGAATGCCGACAAAGGGGAACCCATCCTTTCTCATACCAGCAATAGTGGGCTTAAGAATGGTTTCACGAATTTCGTCCAAAATCTTAGGGGTGGCAATGGGGGCAGGAGCATAAGCACCCATACCACCAGTGTTCAAGCCAGAGTCGCCCTCGCCAATTCTCTTGTGGTCCTGGGCAGGGGGGAGATCGACAATAGTATAACCGTCAGAAAAGGCAAGAATGGAAAGTTCATCACCCTCGAGAAACTCCTCAATGACAACTTCATCACCAGCATCACCAAAAGCACGGTCCTCCATGACCTCCTTAAGAGCCGCGTAAGCCTCTTCCTTGTTCTGGGGAATCAAAACGCCCTTTCCGGCAGCAAGACCAGAGGCCTTGATGACAACATTGTGGTTAACCGAGGCAATGTAAGCCTTGGCCTTTTCGTAGTCGGTGAAATTCTGGAACTCAGCGGTAGGGATATTGTGCTTAGCCATGAAATCCTTAGAAAAGGTCTTGGAGCCCTCCATGACGGCAGCCTTAGCAGAGGGACCAAAAGTGGGAATACCAACCTTTCTAAAGTAGGTTTCAATACCGTCAACCAAAGGCTGCTCGGGACCAGGAACAACCAAATTGACATCGTTCTTTTGGGCAAACTCAACCAACTTAGGGAAATCGCCGCTGCTAATATCAATGTTCTGAACCTTGTCCAATCCATTGGCGGTACCACCGTTGCCTATACTCGTGTTAGATGAATCTCAACTCTTATTGGGTCTAGCAAATAAAAATACATACCAGGAGCAACGTAGATAGTCTTGACAGAAGGAGACTGAGCGAGTCTCCAAGCAAGAGCATGCTCACGGCCACCGTTACCAACGAGAAGAATCGTGAGAGAAGAATCAGACATTATGACTTGAGGTGGGGAAATTGAATATGTGGGTGTTGTGAAGTAAAAGGATGAACATCGGTCTAAACAAACAATAAAAAAAAAAAAAAAGATAAACGGGCCTTTAAACTGTCACAAGTTGGAGTAATAAAAAAAAATTTTTTTTCTAAAGTGCGGCTTTTACTATTTTGGTAAACACGTGACTTACAGCCACACACAAAGACGATAAATATTTTTATTTATTTAAATATGAATATGAAGTGATTTAACTTCCATATTTATATATGTTTATATATATATATGAAAGGAACAAATCTGAATATGTATGAAATGTCTTTTTTATAAAAAAAAATATATATATATATATACTAAACTAAAATATTATTGATGATTTTAATAAAAGTCAAACTAGTCAAAATATTGGGTCCAGCTAATCTAGACTAGTTTGCTCATTTGAAGAAAGAGTTAAAAAAAATACCAAAAAATATCATAAAAAATGCTCATTAATTAATGCTTTTGATTTGAATTGAAACCATAGCTGAGGGCTTTTCCAAAAGCAAGGTGGATGATGAAGTGTCCAAAGACTCCCTTTTTTTTAACTTATAATAACCTCCATTTCCAGTAGTTCCTTCAACCCATTCTCCCTCATACTTGCCACTTTTTATACCATCATGAGCTACCTGTGACTTTGCTGCAAAGAATTGCGGCTCGCCCTCAACTTTAATGATGCAATTGTGCCACGGCGTCGGAATATGAAGAAGGTCATCAAAGGTGGGCGTCGACTCATCATCCAGCGACTTGATGGGATGGCACTCCTTGGTCGACAAAAGCTTAATTCCAAACTTTGGTCCACTATTGCAATGGCTAGGTATTTGTTAGAATCAAACTTTTTTTTTTGAATGTGTGTATGTTTGAATATTAATACTCACGCATGGATAGAAAGTCGAAGATGATGGGGGAACATAAGTTCAACCAAATTTGAATAAGCTTCGTTGCGCTGATGTTTTTGTTAGCAATGGATTAAAAAAAAACAATTAATAACTTTTAACATACCTTAATCATCTCAAAGGCGCACTTTTGAGCAATCTTTTTGCACCCCTTTTTTGTTCCCTTTTTAATGAATGTTATATGGAGAGCTAAATCTTCTTCCATAAACTTTGTAAAGCCACGGTAAAGAGCAAGCTTGGCTGGGTTCTGAGTATCAATAAGATTACGAAGAATCTCATCACTTGTATGGCAGCCAGTCATCATGATTTTTCGACAAAGCTCAGAACTGTCCTCAATTTCTGTTTCCAAATAATGAGGAATGACAACATCCTCAACTAAGGTCTGGTCGAACTCGTGAGTCTCATTGGTCAAGATTTGGGGCAAAGAACGAAAGTCAATGAACTCGTCAGAAGCAATTTCATTCTTCATTTCTTTAAGCTTCTTGCCGTAAAGGTCAACAACAGAGTCATCAATACCAACTTAAAACTGTTAACTCTATTTTTTTTTTTTTTTTCAAATATCCATTATACTTACCACAATCACTAAAGACATGACCATCACTGATAATCCAAATTTTGATACCAGGAGGATAAACCTTGGAGGCCAAAGAAATTATTTCAGTTAATCTGCGAAGAGCCAATTCTTCGCCTTTATCAGGATTGATACCAGCAACTTTATTTGTGTTTGTTGATTTGGCAGGGAAAGCAGGAAGACAAGCTTCAATTCTGAGGTTTCTTGAGGTGAAGAAGTTGACAGTTTTTTCAAAATAAGCTTTCCCACATTCCTCCCATTTGTCATCACGTGTAACGTTGCGAAGTTCTTTGTCAAACAATTCGGTGATAAGCTTTGTGTAGTTGTTGACACCAGGCTCGGAAACTACATCACCAAAACCAATATCAGAGTAGTGAAGAATATGAGCCATAAACCATTTTCCAAACGTGGTTTTGTTAATATCAGCAATTGCCAACCCACGCACCTGATTTTCATTGGGAAGCTTAATTTCACAAAACTTAATGAGAGGGCTGTAGTTTTCATCATCTTCAGACAACTCAAAGTATGGAGCCAAATCAGTACCAATAAACTTTTTAGCCATGGAGGCCTCTATAGGGGCCGTTCTTTCAGAGACACCAAACTCATTAATCACAGGCTCTGACAATTCACCAATTTGATCCCAGGAGTTGTTAAAAATGGCAGAGTATTTCCCACTAGAAGTACTAATGTTATTTTCAGCATCCCTAGTATAAATAGTCAGGATTTGGTTATGAACAGACATGTGGTTAATTTTTTGCATTGTAAAGAAAGAGAAAAAAAGAAAGATTGAGGCAACGGGAGAAAATCAGAATGATTAAGACTATCAAGATAAAAAAAAATTATAAAATAGTGACAAAGACAGATGATGGATACCAGTAAGGGGCAGGGCCAGCCTTTTTATATGGGGACTTTGCTCAGCTATTAGATTAATTTCTATATATGAATAGAAGCTAATAAGAAATACATTTTTTTAAATTTATTTATTTTTTTCGAAAGGCTCTTTTCAAGAAAATCACCTGGAAAAAAAAAATACTTTTTTACTATTATACCACTACTCAAGTAGATACCGAGTTCCATTTGATTTAATGATAATTGTAAATTAACATAGTTTACTTTTATGAAGAAAAAAAAAAGAAGAAAAGGGGAAGAAAAAGTAAATCAATAATTGTAAAAAAATAAACTGAAAAGGAAAAGATTTTTGAATAGTTTGTTTCGGCTATTTCTGATTCACTGCATATTTATTGATTAAGATCAAGGAAACAAGAAACAAGAAACAAGAAAAAAATAAAAATAAAAATAAAAATAAAAATAAAATAAAAAAATAACCAAGTTTTCTATGGATAACATAAAAAATACTTGGTTGTATACCCTTTTTTTTTTCAATTTTTGATTTCTAAGTTTTACTTATTAAAGTTTTTGACTTTTCTTTTCTTTTTTTGTTATATTTTTTTTTGTACGAAAGCTTGAGTTCTAATCATGGAAATGATTTTTTTTTTAAAAAAAATATCTATTTTTGCTTTTTATTTTATCAATTTTATCATGAAAAAAAAAAATAAAGTAGGATTTAATATTCTCGAGTACGTCATATTTTTAATCCCACTGTTACCAACCTCTACTAAAAAAAAAATAAATTATACTCCCCGTGAACAGGAGAACGGTGGTAAATTAAAAATAAGTTTGGGACTTTTTAGTTCGTTATTTACCTTAAACCGAAGTTTTGATTTTTTTTACAAAAAAAGAGTTGCAATGAGATTAATAAAAATTAAATTGTTCCTAGAAGCACTAAAGATGAAATGATTTTAAAGATCCTATATTTTTTTTTTTTAAATAAAAAAAAAAAAAAAATTAAAGATCCAAGCATGTGTTTTTTTTTGGAGTTCGATGAGAAAACTAGGGGTTTTGTCATCCGATATTAAAAATTCCCAAAATTGGAAACTAATTAGCTCAATATCATACGAAAGTAGAGAGTAAATAACATTGCCCTAAATGTACAGAAATTCAAGAACTTTAGCTGAATACTTACAAAAACCCGCCAAATTGAAAAAAAAAAAAACAAAAGCTGAGATGCTTGATATACAATGTTTTTTTTTTTTTTTTTCAAAAAGCTTTGGACAAATACGTTTCGAAGTAAAACTAGTTTATCGATATATATATATATATATATATATATATATGCTTATGTAGTTTTTTTATTCCCTTTACAAAATAATATCGAGTGATGTAGTAAAATACATAATCAACTTTGTTCAGAGTATTGAATGGAAAGATACTATTGCTACTCTTCAGGCGGATTTGGATCTGCAATCAGTGCCTTTGGTACTGTTGTAAATTTTATTTTTATTTATTTTATTTCTACGTTTATTTATGGCCTTCGATAACGTTTCTATTAACCGACAAGAAAATATGTTCTTTTTGCACTGCTTGTTGATTCAATTCATTTGGATTCATGCATTATTATAAATTATTTTTAAGTTAAAAGAGGTCATTTTTTGAATTTTTTTTTTCCGTCTCTTTTGTGTTACTCAAAGCCATCGAGTATTCCGCGGTAAATAAATGAAGCTGAATACTTATTTGGATAAGATCTATAGACATGTTTCTCACATTCAGTAACTATCTCTTACGTTTACTAAATAAATGTATAAAACCGTTTGAAATATTCAGATAAAAGACATGAGATTAATTCTTTAAGATTTATGTGGTTTTTAATGGGTTGAAGAGCCTCACACCTTTTTGGCGACTCTTTTGATGCAACATCAAACATCATTGTTTTGTATAAGTTCGTGCTGATCCGAAATTAAACTTTATATTGTGATTTATTCATTCATTTAGTAATAACTAGAATGGTTTTGGAAGAAACAAAAAAAGCGTTTGTCAGAATTTGTCGTTGTATTTGATTGTTTCTTGGGGATGGTGCTTTCTTTAATATATAATAATACCCCTTTATAAATAATAAAAGTTTTCTTTCTTCTTTTCAACTTTTTTTTTTTTGCTCATTTACCCTTTTTTTTGTTAAAAGAAAAAAAAAATTTGTCCTTCTATTTTTTTTTCTTTCTTCTATTTCTTTTTTTCCCCTATCTCTCTTCTTTACGACAAACGACATACAATACTTTTAGTATTTACAACTTTTTTTTTTCTTAATGAACCTTATAACCCTTATCTTAATCGCCTTTATAGTAATTGTGGGATACTTCATTCGCACTATAGTATACCCACCCTCTAATTTCCCTAAAAATGTCCCCGTGATTCCATTCTATGTTTCCTTCCTTACCCTGTTTTACAAGATCTCCCAGGAAGACATTTACAATATATATATTCGAAAGAAAATTGAAGAACATGGTATTGTCGCTCTTTACTTTGCTTCTCGATGGAACTTAATTTTGCAAAAACCAGAGTACCTTCAAGAAATGTTTCGAGATTTAAACACGTTTGAAAAGAGTGGTAACCAAAAGAAGGTGCCCTATAGCGTTTTAGCAGCATACACAGGCGATAATATTATAAGTGCACATGGCGAGAATTGGAAAAAATATAGAAAAGTTTTACAGCCTGGACTCCAAAAAAATTTTGACGAAGAACCTTTGAGAAAAAACTCGCAGCAACTGATTTCGTTAATTGAAAAAGATCAGGAAAAAACAAGTGGAGGAGTCCTGATTCAGCACTTTCTTCAAAGATATACACTTGCCAATGTTGCTGTCTGTCTGTTAAATACCGATTTTGAAGTATGTCACTGCAATTTAATTTTCTCATTATTATTTTCATATTATACTAATGCAGTGCTTTTTCTAGACTCTTAGCCGATCTGACTCTCCACTTCACCTTCAGCAATTAGCAGTCAAGAAGGAGATTTTCAAGCCGATTTTCCTTAACTTTCCTATTCTTGATACCCTTCCTATTCCTAGCCGCATTCAAGCACGCAAGGAGATTGAAAAGTTTTCCAAAAATCTGTGCAACCACATTCGTCGAAGTAATGAAAAGATTGACAAGTCTGAGCTCAATCTTTCGAATAGTATGATTGCTGCAGTGGAAACTGGTATTTTAACTGAAAAACAATTTAGAGATAATGCAGTGATTGTTTTCATTGCAGGACATGAAAACCCTCAGTTATTTTTGACTACTCTACTTTATATTTGCGCAAAATATCCTGTAAGTGGCAGACTGCTTTTTTATTGCATTATTATTATTATTATTATTATTATTATTATTATTATTTATCTATCTATCTATCAAAAGAATCTATTATTAACAGCATTTTAGACAATTCAAGAAAAGCTAAGAGACGAGGAAACGAATTCCGAAGTTCCATTAAAAGAAAGACCCTATCTTAACTCTGTTATTTATGAAACACTACGAATGTATCCGCCTATTTCTCAGCTTGTAAATCGCAAGACGGCTAGACCTGCTATGCTTTCTAATGACGTGATTATTCCTAAGGATACTTATGTGGGTTATATTGGTTATGCAACGGGACATGATCCCAAAGTTTGGGGTGCTGATGCGGATAATTTTATTCCTGAACGATGGGGATCAAACATTCAAGAGATTCGCACCAATTATTTATCTGCAAAAAGTTCATCTCGGTTGATTGCCTTTCATGGAGGCATGAGGGCGTGTCTTGGTGAACGTCTTGCATTGACAGAAACTCGAGTATTGTTGACGGAGCTGCTTAAGGAGCTTAGTTGGGAGCTTGATCCAGATTGGTTTGATATGATGACTCCGGTAAGTACTTTAAAAGATCATATATATTTTTTTGTGGGGATTAGGAGAAATAGAATGGCTTATTGAAAGTTTACTTTTACTAACTTTTTTTTTTTTTTTTTTACTTTTTTAGGGTGGTCCATTATCTCCATTTCTTTTAAAACTAAAGTTTTCAAAGCTCAATCCATAAACTACAGTATTTGTAAACCTAGTTTATAATATATATTTTGATATTAATGACCAACTTTAGGTCTGAATAAAAATTAATTTTCTTTTTTTTTTTTTGTTTGAAATAAGATTCTATTACTGAGTATTAGCAGTATTTAATGTTCCATTTTGGTTCAAACTGTTAATTTGAAGGTTTTCCATTATCAATTACTATATATATATATATGTAAAATAAAAATAGGACATGAATTTTTTTTGTTAAAGAGAATAATAATAATAATAGTAATAATAACAACCATGATTTGAAGTGTACCTTTTTTTTTTTTTTAAAAAAAAAAGACCAAAAATATATTTGTCATTTATGCTTATTATGCCCAATATGGTTCAGCCTCCAAAGATGAGAGTCTGCATAAACTATAATAATCAGTTAAAACCAGCCGTACATTTTCCAATGACGATAAAAAAAAAATTAAATAGTAAATGCAATGCATTGTACTGAGTGCAAAAAAACGTTTTTCTTAAAAAAGAAAATCCTAAGCGGTTTCTCTTTTCTTCTATTAATTTTCTCATGAAATAAAAATAATCTAGAATAAAGAATTATAATTCAATTATATATAGATATAAATAATAATGAGAGAAATAAATCAACATTGAATAATGAATACAAAAAAAAAAAAAAATTAAAAATTAAAAATTAAAAAAAAAAAAGGGATTGAAAATAGCCAAGAACGTAATGACAAAAACTTAAGAGATTGAGAGGTTTTGGGAAAATGACCCACCTAAAAATATTAAAAAAAAAAAGAAAAAAAAGAAAATTTCTTATTCTAATCCAACTTGCAAAAAAAAAAAAATAACGACATTTATTTCTGAGTAGTAAAAAACAACTATGAAATTTTTAGGACAAGCATTAATTAACAAAATTATGTAAGTATAATAAACCCAGCTCAAAGTCTTATATAAATCTTATAATATACTTGTGTGTATAAGAATCAGATATTTTCCTACTTTTTCACTTTTTAACCTTTTTTACTATCCCCTTCACCCCCCCTTTATTTTTTTAGAAAAAAAAAACATTTATTTCTTTACTTTATTACTATTCTCCAAAAAGTTTTTATTTTATTATTATTATATTCTTGAATGAATAATTTGGAAAAAGATCTTGAAAAAGAGATTGCTGTTCTTCCTCAAACTATCATTCAGGAAGACAGCAGTAGCACTCTCGACGATTCAGACAAGGCATCCTCAACAGACTTTACAAATAAAAAGAATGCTGAAATCCTGATAAAATCTTCCTCTCCAGAACCTGACCCAACATCAACAATTATGAATGAAAAAACTGGGATCCCAGCTGCTGAAGTTCCACCAGCAGATCCTCCCAAACCACCTCCATACACTGCATTTCCTCTTTGGAGAAAACGATTAATTCTGGGACTGGTGACAGCAGCTGGATTTCTTGGACCATTGTCAGGAAGTATCTATTTGCCTGTTCTCCAGGTAATTAAGAAGGAATTTAGCATATCAACGACTGTGGCCAACACTACGATTGCTGTTTTTATGATTGTTTTTGCATTTGCTGTATGTATAAAAAAACCCCTACTCTCCTTTTATTAATTGTTCATTACAAAATTTAGTATTAACATTACATTTTAGCCTCTGTTATGGGCATCTTGGGCCGACTTTGGTGGCAGAAAGTTTCTCTATATTGTTTCTCTAATCATTTATATTGCCTCGTGTATTTGTCTGGCAGCATTGCCAGCTCATACTGCTGTCATTTTTGTTTTTCGAATAGTCCAAGCGTTTGGTGCATCTAGTGTACAGTCCCTCGGTGCCGGAACAGTTGCTGATTTGGTTGAACCCAAAAATCGTGCTTCTGCTATTGCTGTATTTATGCTAGGCCCACAATTGGGTCCTGTTGTAGGTCCTATTCTTGGTGGTGCGATTGCTGCAAATGACGATTGGAGATGGATTTTTGGATTTTTGGGTAAGTTTTTTTTTTAATGTCTTTAAAAATAAAGCAAATCTAACTCAATTTTTTTTAGCTATTATTGGTGCCGTTATTCTTTTAATGTTTATCTTTATGCTTCCTGAAACGTTGAGATACCTTGTTGGCAATGGTGCAATTTACGAAAACAAGTTGTTTGTTCATCCTCATTTGAGACAAAAGAAGATTGTTTTTGATGACAAGAGATTTCCTAAACCTCCTAAACCAAGTCTCATTGGGTACCTAAGAATCATGCGTTATATTCCGGTTACTCTTGTATCTATTAATGCAGGTCTTTTGTTTGCGACATATTATGGCATTGCTGTGACTTACTCTAAGTATCTGTCAAGTCAATACCATTTCTCTACTACTGAAGTTGGTCTTGGTTACATTGTTCCCGGTGTTTCACTTGCTTCTGGATCCTTGATTTCTGGACGCGTTTCTGACAAAATCCGCAAACGCATGGTTGCAAATAGCCCTGATGGAAAGATTATTCCTGAACACCGTTTACCAATTCAGATTTTTGGCATCTTGATATCAATGGCTGGTATTTTATGTTATGGGTGGATGATTGACAAGCATGTTCATGTCGTTAGTGTAATGGCATTTTCTTTCATGGCTGGTTTTGGCATGACTTGGGTTTTCGTCATCAATACAACTTACTTGACTGAATGTGCTCCTGCAATGCCAGCCAGCTTGGTTGCCATTGCCTCATTTTTCAGAAATTCTGGTGCTGCCATTTCGTCAGTCATTATTGAACCCTTGATTAGCAAGATGGGAGTAGGCTGGTGTTTTACCGGTCTGGCTTTTATTGATTTCTTTGGTTTGGCTATGGTTCTTGCACTTATTAAATTTGGTCCAAAATGGAGACATAACTTGGAACAAAAGAAGCTCAGAGCAAAGGAAGCAGCAGCTGCAAAGGCAGCAGCTACAGGAAATATACCAGCTGGACCAGCAGCTCCAGCAGTACAACAAGTGAGTGAAATTCCACCACCTGCTCCAGCTGTGATTGTTCCATTATCTGTGACTGAGAGCTTACCAGCTAAACCAGCATCTCCTGAAATCCAAAAAAAGCCTGAAGTTAAAGAATTGACTTCTACGGCAAATGATAGTCTGGTACAGAGCTCCGTACATGATTCAAAAGTTGAACAACAAAGACAATTGTAATTAATTATATTTTTTTTTTAGTTTTTTTTTTATTTTACTTATGTATACTAATATCTATCTAATGCAAAAATTTTTTAAAAAAAATAATTTTTTTCCAAGTTATTAAACTATGTTGAAAGAAAACATGTCATGATCGTGAATAGGTTTTTTTATTATTTTTTTTAAAGAAAAGTTTATAGATAATCGTAATTACAAAGTCTAACTGATAGGCGGCGCATTTGAGAAATATTTTATTCCTAAAGTGTGTAGTTTATTTTCTCGAGAGCAAAAAAAAAAATACGAGTTTGCACTAAGATGCTCACATAGGTGAGAATTACTTGTTTGGGAAGGGTAATTAACTCAGTGCAAATTACGCATACCCACTCGCTCACAACTATTATATTTTGAACAAACAGCAAGAATCAAACAAGAGATTTTCGTACCAAAACCTGGGATTTTTTTAAAAAAAAAATAGTAAATATTGTATTGTAAAATCAAATGAAAGAAAAGTAAAAAAGTAAAAGTAACTGAATATAACAGTAAAATTGGTAGTCCAAGTATAAAAAATATGAAATGAAAGTAAGATCAAGGAACGAGAATGTTAATCATCACTTGAATACAACAATTGTAAGAATTACCATAAACTTCTTTATTCAATTATTAACAACAATGTGAAGGAATCGTGGGAAAGTTTAGAATTAAATTGTATTAGAAAAAAATTTGAGTTAAAAGCTGGTATACTAGAAGATAAAAGAAAGAAATTTGTGATTGCTAAAAATCTAACCAAAAATAATAAAGAATAATATATTGAGACATAATGAAAACAGGAAACACAAAATGAATATCAAAAAAAAAAATCAACAACATAGCTTTTACTTTCTTTTAAAAAAAAAAAAAAAAAACATATACAAGGATAACAGCAAAAAAAAAAGATTAAAAAGAAAAAAAAATGAGAAACTTAGAGGGTTATATAGTTTTTTTTTTCATTTGGCCAACTGGTGATTTCTTCTATTTGTGGCTGCTGAATATGAGCAATTTTTAATTGTTTATTGTCCAATTACAGTAATATGATATGTAAATTTTAATTCTTCTTTTAAAAAACCAATTAGAAACAGAATATTCTTTAAAAGGATGCTTTTTTTTCTCCTTTTCTGATAAAGTGAAAGGGATTTAAATAAATGCCCCCTTTGCTTAATTAAAGCTTTTTGAAGGAATGGTATTGAATTTTTATTTGAAGTGAGTAAACAATTTGGTGAAATAGAATCAGAATTATACAAATTCATTAGGTTTTTCTTTTAAAAAATTTTCAGGAAATGATTCTTGTAAAAGCAACAATAGATTAAATGTGGGTATTTGAAAGATCATCAAAACTGCATTCTTTTCTAATTTTGTTAATTTGACTCTTAGTAATGATGATCTTCATTTTGTCTTTAACTCAAGCTTTAACAGCAGTTCAATTTGAAAGACCTTATAAAATAATTAGTGGGCTTAACCGTTAAAAAAAAACCTATCAACTACCGACCATAGCATTTATTGAAATAGTTCCGTGTTTTAAGCGGTGAATTAAAGATTAAATGAACAAACTTCATCTGTTAAACTTTGCATCACAATTTTAATCTTATTCTACAGGACAGTTTAAAAAAAGTATCACGATGAAAACTTGTACACTCAAATTTACTATAAGAAAAAATCTAAACTCACACATAAAAGCTTAAAAAAACACCTCAATTTTCTTGAGCATAATGAATGAGTGTGCAATTATATATTTCTTTTGGTTTTTTAAATTGGATAAATAAGTTTTCATTGTGATAATGATGCTTAAAGTCTTTTTGAAAGTTTATAAGGATTAAAAGTGATTAATATTTTAACTATTTGAAAAGACAGAAAAAGAGAGAGACCTATTCATAAACTTTTTTGTTAAATAAACAAATAGAAATAACAAATGTAAATTACTTAACTTAATAAAGAAATACTTTTCATTTAATTTTAACAGATAGTTAAAAAAACTTTGTTTTAAGAAAAAAACAGTTAATTGAACTAATTGATTTTGTAAAATTATTTACACAGAAGCTATTCTTCAAATATTAAAAGTAAATTATGAAATATTAAAAAAAAGAATAAATGAAATAAATAATCAATAGTTATAACTACACGATATACTGTTTAAGAATCAAAATAGCTCATGTATAGTATTCAAAATGACAAATAATTTGGACTATAATAGAAAAAAAGTGTCAACAGATATGTTACACAATACAACCAATAAAATTTATTTGACTGCCACATCCATACACCCTTTCTCTTTCTCTTTAGTTTTTTCTCCACTAACGCTTTCTATATATGGAGAAAAATGAGTCAATATATATTCAAAAGATTAAATGATATAAAACTTGGAGCGATGAGCATCTCATTAGTAATTTAAAGTTGTTTTTAAACTGGGGAAATAACTAGGTGTTAATCTCTATTATTTAAGTCATCGCACGGCAAAAAAAAAAAAAAGAGGTTGATTTTTAGCTTGTTTTTATTCGAGAGTGATTGAAATATATCTTCAACATTTACATATCCATTTTACTTCTACTATATGATAGCAAAAATAATTTTAGCGTATCCAGTTATTCTATTCAACGTCAAGGACTTGCCTTTTTATTCTTTTTTTCGTTTTTCAGCGAAAAAATTCGTGTAAATTTGTGTAAAAATCTACCAAAAAAAAGTTTCACTCTTAACTTACGGTTACTAACTTATTTTTAATTTTTTTTTATTCAAAATTATTGTTTTTTTTTTGTTGTCTTCCTCTTTTACCAAATCAAACCACTATTTTGGTGCCTATTATGATTTATGTAAAATGATCAGTGAATATATCCATAAGCTTATGTATGGACTTATGATCCAATTAAAGAGTAACAAGAGAGACGAATAGCTTTAAAAATTGGATGCATTAGTGCCAATGGTTTCTATCCCTTAAAACACTTTTTTTTTTTATTTTTAAATAAAACAAGTTTGCAGCCCTTTTCTTTCTTTTTGAGCCCCCAAAAAAAAAAGAAAAAAAAACTTATCGTCTGTCAATTACATCTATTTAACCTTTCAAAGGAAGCCGAAGCGAAAAAAAAATTGAAACGATTGTTAAGTTCAAGCGAGGTTTTCACTTATTATTTCAATGCTATACTTTTATTGGGCGTCAATTTGTTTAAGATATTGTTTTTTTTTTAGCTTAAAATTCCTTTTAGTGTAGAAATGTAGTTAAGTCCCCACATACTGTTTTTTTGTTCATACCAACTCTTAAACTCTTTCTATAAAAACAGAAAAGTTTCCTTTGGAGGACTTCAGTAAATAGGCTGACTAAGTAATACGATGATGTATTTTTTTTATTTGCAATCGTCTTAAGTGACGTTTGCTGAGCTACAAATAAACTTAGCAATTGCAGTCGAAATCGAGTGTACTGACCTCGAACGGGTTTATTGGTAGTGAGCAAATTAAATAGACTAATATAGTATATGCTGCCATTTTGTTGTTGTTGTTGTTTATAGTTTTAAAAACTTTTGGGACGATAAACGTGCCTTGCATGATACAGAATATTGAAAAACTAGACTTTTACTTAAAGAGTGTCGTTATTTCAAAATTTAAAAGATTTTATTTTCAAATTTTTTTTTTTACTGAATGTTTTTTTTTTTTTTTTTTTTTTTGATTAATTAATAAAGACAAATAAAAATTCAATATTTTAAAAAGCCGTCTTGAGAGGTCAATTTTTTGTGGGGAGGGGTTTTGATTCGGGGTTCTGAGGGAGAGAGCCTTTGGTAAGAATCCTTCACGTGACAAAATGGTATCTTTTGGGTGTATGGATTCCAACCTGTTTTTCCTTGTTTTGTAATTTTTCTTTTTTTTTTTTTTTTTTTTTTTTTTTGGAAACTTAACTTATACCCCTAAATTACTATTTTACTATATCACATTTATACTTTATTCTCAAGAATAAAAATTGTCTGTGAATCATGTTTGTCAATTCAGAAATTTATATAAAATCCATGCTTTTTCTCCGATCTTTATCGAGGAAATTTTTTTTTTTTTTTTTTTTTTTTTCTTTTTCAACTTTCTAATACTATCATTTTTCCTATAAACGTTTCTTTTGGGTAATAATTATTTGTTTACAACAAAAGATACAAATATTCCTGGTTCATTTGTTTTTTTTTTTTTTCTTCAAATAGATTATTAGAAAAAAATGAGTCAAAATTTAAACAATACTGAAACTAGAGAACTTCCTAGGTCACAGGATGACTCGTCTAGCTTGAAAGAAGCTGATGAGGCCAACATTCAAGAACTTCCAGTTCAACCCACTACTGTTCGCGACAGCGAAGAAGTATTAAAGTGGAGTACCCGCAAATCTTTAAGTGTTTGGCTTTTAATTTGTTATTCTGTATGTTTGATTCTTCCTTTCTCATTTCTATTTTATCTAACCACTAAACTTTAGAATGGTCCCGTCAGTTCTATGGCAAGATCATATGTCCCTGCAAGTATTCAATCCATCGCAAATGCTGTTGGCCATTTGAAAGGAACGGACAAACCATGCCCTCGAAAACTGGCTACAGGCCAACGATGTTTGGTTAAATTTGGTAATGGTGAAATTGACTACAATAGTTACTCTCTTTACATCAAGGCTATTACAACATCCATTGAAGGTCTTTTAGGTATCTTCACTACAGGTGTTGCAGATTACACCAACTACAGAAGAGGAATTATGTTTGGTACCCTTTTTCTGTATAGTGCGTCTGCACTTCCTGCTGCTGGTCTTTGGGAAAAAAAATATAGTAATCTCGTTGGTTTGGCCTTTTTATACTCACTCATGATTTGCATTGACTCTGTATATCAAATTATTGAAGGATCTTACATTCCTATATTTATGCGATCTCGTGCTTCTGTCAAAATTAAGGGCACTGAACCTGAACAAATAAAAAGAAAAATGGTTTTGGCACAAGGTTCACTTGTTAGTGTTTTGGGTATTGTTATTGGCAATGTTGGTGGCATCACTGCCACTTTAATTGGTGTAATTATTACTTATAACTGGGGTGCTGCTGCTTCTATTGGTTACAAACGCTTTTTGCTTGCCGTTACTATTGCCGGTTGCATTTCTATGGTGGCTGTTTCTATTGCTTTTTTCATTTTCCCAAGTGTTAAAGGACTTGAAAAGCCTAAGAATGTCAATATTTTAACTGTTTCTGTTAAACGATTTTTTGGTCTTTTAAAAGATATTCAAAAATATCCTGAAGCATGGAAACTCTGTATTGGTTGGGTCATTTGGAACGTTTCATATTCAAACTTCCTTTCTGTTTTTAATCTCTTATTTCGAAGTGAATTAGGATTGGGTACTGCTGATGGTGAATACACAGTTTGGACTTTGATGACTATGGTTATTTCTACTTTGTTTTCTCTTACCTGGATGTATGCGTACCCTAGAACTCCACTCAAAATTAAGCACTGGGCTTATGGATTTTTCTTTATTTCATTTTTTGCTAACCTCTGGGGCTGTATTGGTATCCCTGATCATGTCAATGTTGGCTTCAAACACCGCGCTGAATTTTGGGTTTTTGAGATTTTCTATGCTGGCACCTCTAGTGCTCTCCGTTCTTTAAATCGTACTCTGTACAGTTCTCTTCTTCCTGAGGGTAGCGAAGCCAAGTTTTTTGGTTTGGAAATCACAATGGGTGTTGCTGTGGGTTGGATTGGAAGTTTAGTCAATGCCACCATTCAGGACAGAACTGGCAATTTGCGCTGGCCCATGGTTCCAAATTTGTTTTTAGTTCTTATTGCTGCCGGTCTTTACTGCTGGGTTGACGTTGACAAGGGTATGAGTGATGCCCAAAAGGTTGATGTTGTTTTTGAAGGATCTGGGCCTTCTGAGGTTATTGAGGAGCCCATTGAGATTGTTCGTGAAGAGTCTAACGATTCTCTTAAAAAATAATAAGTTGTTTGATTTTTTTTGTAATTTCTTTTTTAGTTTTAAAATATATGAAAAAAAAAATAAATAGTATATAGACACAATGTGTTTTTTTTTCCCCTCTTTACTATTTTCCTTTTTAGTTGCATGAAATATCCTTTCTATTGGATTATAATTGACTTAAAAATGATAATTATTATCCTCTAATCTGTTTTATAAGGGACTAAACCAGGCTGGTATTTTGTAAATGAATGGGTTTGTATCGGTGATTATCACGTGAATGCCCATAATAAGGTCTGTCTTATTGTTGTTTCCATTTTAAGACTGTCCAAGCGCTTATTACCTTTCAAATAAAAGAAAAAAAATTTTAACCGCCAGATCTTTATTACAAGCTTAAATTTTTTTTTTCTTCTTTTTTTTTTTTTTTATTTTTTTTCCTAAACCAATTTTTAGAAAAAATCTACATTTATTTTTTTCTTCTATAATTTTCTTGATCAATATTCTATATCAAAGGAAAAGAGAAGAAAAGAAAAGAAAAAATAATTTAAACAGAATGGCTGTATTATCTATAAAGTCCCTTATTGGTAAGGGCAAGAAACGGGCTAATAGTCCTTCAACTGAATCATCCCCACACAGTTCGAGTCAAAATGAAGAAAGTAATAGTTCGCTTTTTTCATCAGCCTCCTCGACATCGTCTTTAGGAACAGCAGAACTTGATTCTAGTACAAGTGATGAGAGTTGTCTAGAAGATTTTCAAGATCGTTCCGAGAACCTACTAGTAAGCGGTGCAGTGCATAATCAACATGAAGATACGCGCAATACGAGTCGTCGAAACTCAATCGAGTCTGGTGCACAGACACTAATTTTAGATGATGCAAGCTCGACAGCCAATACTTTATTACCCTTTGATGATAGCGCTTCAGTGACAACACGGGTGGCTGCCCGAGGACCTGCTGGAGGAAATCACATTGTTAATTCGCGAGAGCGTCCTGGATATAATAGAACTTTTATGGGTCTCGTAGGGCGGCGAAACGAACTTGACGAATCTCTTTTGTATAATGATGACCATTCTAAGACGTTTCCTATTTATGCAACAAGGTTTAAGTCAAATGCACAGGTGTTTGAATCTGATTTGGCGGCCAAGGTTACGCGTACTCTGATACGCAAGGGCACGGGATCGGTAGGACTTGGTGGTAGTAGTTCGAGCGCAAAGACCAAGGGCAAGGGCAAGGGGAAACGCAACGCAACCACTAAGGTAGGGTCAGCTGGCGCAAACACGAGTAGCGAACATATTGGAGAGAGTAGTGGTGCAAGTCAAGGAACCGAGTGTTATATGGACAATAATGATGATCAGAGTCCACGCGATACCAGTGATAAGATTCCTATGCCACCATCAATTTATTGTACTCCACACACATCATACAATCCATTCCCCAAAGCCCGAACATTATTCATGACCATGTATACATATGGTAGTCGGCCACAGGGTGGTGGTCAGCTACTTCTTGGTAAACTAATTGCAGAGCGTAATTTAGAGCTTGGATTGGATCCAGGGTATCATGCGCATCATAGTGGCACAGGCACATATGGAGCACCAGGGCTTAATAGTAATGAAAAGCAACCGTTATGTCGAGTTTGGCAGGAGGTGATGAAGGGGACAATAGACCAGGTCAAATATGTGATTGAGTTTGAGAACTCGTTAGATTTTGCACAGCCAACCGTGACAATGATTAATTATGGAAGCAAGCGAGTAACGGATACAATGTATGATGGGATAAGGATGCGATGGTATGGAACAACAGGTCTGGCATCAACATTTGGGTCTGGATTTTTTGAGTTGAGGTTTATTGAACGAGCTAATGCAACTGCAACAGGCTTGTCACTATCAACAGCAGAAACAAGCGGGTCTAGGCAAGTGGTGAGTGGAGAGATAGGAGGTGGTCAGCCGGCCAGCAGCAGCAACAGCAGCAGTGACAATAGTGTAGAGGATGTGCAACGGCTGTTACAACATCGACAAGAACTGGAACGTCAACGTCCTCCGGTAGCACTTTACCATAACATTTATACCAAGACATTGTCAAGCACACGCAAAGTAGGAGAGTTTACGATTTGGGAACCTGGATACCAACTGGCAGACATTATTGTGATTATGGGGCTTGTTCTTAGAGAGCAAGAGCAGAGGAAAGATGTGGAATATCAGCACGTGGTTTCCTCCAAGTTTTTGAGTATTTTATAATTGAGAGTTTTTTTTCTTTTTTTTTCTTTTTTTTTTCAATTAAAGTTTTAAACTGAACTTAACATCTTTGGATGAATAACGAATTTTTGGAATTTTTAGAATTTTTGGAATTTTTTTTTTCTTTTTTGAGAGGGGAGGAATGTATTAAATTGATACTGGATTTTTATTACGTAATAGGTAAGTGTGGCTTTGGTGGTGTGGCTTTCCCATTGTGGCGTATTATTGTGAGGGTCATATATATATATATCTATATATATGATAACTCATTGTTGGGGGGGGATTCAAGTAGAACTGACTTGAATAAAGAAGAAGCAGGTCTCAACGGCCGTTTCTATTCCATTTTTATTTTATTTTTACTTTTGCTACTTGTTTGTTGCTGGCCGTTATGTAACTCATCATCAGTGCACCAAACTGCATTAATTGTGTATTCTGTGCAGAAGACAAAAAAAAAAGCCATACTTTTCCATGAAAAGAAGCTTTCAGAACCATTTCAAAATCGTACTGATTTTTCTTTTTTTTTTTTTTTTTTTTTTTTTTTACATGAACTGGAAATGCAATTGTTGTATATACATTTTTATTTTTATTTTTTTTTTTACTTTGAAAAAAACAAACTGATAAGCCTCCTTCCACCTCCTCCCCCCCAAAAAAAAAGAAGAGTCACACGATGGTGCAATTAAAAAGACGGATGAAGCGTTACAATGCAATGATTTTAAAGACCCACGGGCAGCAATTGTGTCTTTTATTTTAAGAAATTTTCTTATAAAAATATATATATTTTTGCTACGAATTTAGTGAGTTATTTTTGGATTTTCATGCATGTGGAGGAGGTTAGGACCAGTGAATATTTTTTATTTTTTTTTTTTTTTTGCTCTTAATTTGAAATTTGTATCGAGTAATCAGAATCAAAATACCTCTGAAAGATTTTTTTTAGGTACTTTACCATCATTTAAAAGATCACGATAGTGAGGGGAGGTGAGGTGGGGGGGGAGGGAGAAAATAGAAAAGAAAAAGTTACAGAAAAACATATATTTTGATCGAGTAATACAAAATAAAAAAAATAATAAAACATGTCTTTGTATATTCTAGGCAGTGCGTATATCTCAGTCTTTTAAACTAAAAAAATAAAAAAGACCGCGCGCGCCAGCCGTTACATGTTGATGATGATGAGATACGCAGACAGACGAACAATCATTACGGATTTAAATGCGGGTTCGGGAAGGTTTGTTCATTTTTGGTATTGGTATATATATATATACTATAAAAAAAAAAGAAATTGCTTTTTAACGGTCCTGAGCGACAATAGGAAGTCATCGCCGAACCGGTCCAGCGGTGGTTTCCGAAGGATTCGAAAGTATATTTTGTAGAAAACATGGGAAAAACAGAGTTATTTTTCTTTTTTATTTATTTATTTCTTATTTAAAAAAAAAAACAAAAAAGACATAACAATAAACTTTTTTTTTTTTTTCATTTATTTATTTATTTTTCAAAAAGAAAAAAAAAATGGTTAAATTCTTAAAATGGGTTTAATGTTGAGGTCTTTTGGTCAAGTTGAGGGTAACTAAATAAAAAAAAAATACCAACTTTTTCACTCCCGGATATCTCCGTTTTTATGTAACAAAGTTGTAATATATGTTTAAACCCTCCCATGTAAGCCTAAAAAGCTTATCTTTAAATAATGAAACTTTTCAGTCCGTACTTTAATGCCCTTTGATTACGGGCGGGCTCGGCTTTTCCCTCGGGAAGCTCAAATTTCTACAATTGTTTATCTAATCGTTTTAAGCTTGGCCTCTAAATATATTTTTGGTTTTTGGTTTATTTTCAACTTCCTCAATCTTTTATAAAAGGGGCTTGATTTCCCCCCCCCCCTCCACGTTTCGGATTTGACCTTCTTTCTTCCTTTTCTTCTGTTTTTTTTTTTTTTTTTTTTTTTTCAAATTTCACTGATTGACAGTTATATTTTTCATCAAATTTTTACAACAATTAAAATCCATTCAAAAAGAAAGAAAAAAAAACACCCTTATCTAAATCATAGTCGCTATTATATATATATATATATATCAAATAAAAAAATATATAATAATACCGCATCTACCTGCCGTACATAAACTACATTATTCACAAAATGCCCGCTACTATCGCACCATCGTATTCCCTAGACCGGGCAATCACCTCCAACAATGTTGTTTTCAAAAATGACATTGAACCAGCAACAATAATCTATTCTCTGCGTACAGGGAAAATTACCCACATCATCCAACCTCCAGCATCTTCTTACGATGATCCTAGACTCGCAAAACTTGGAATCACAGCCCCAGAACAGTTCCGTGATATTGGCGAACTTCACATTTTACCAGGTCTCGTTGATGCTCACGTTCACCTAAACGAGCCTGGCCGCACCGAGTGGGAAGGCTTTGAGACTGGTACCAAGGCTGCAGCTGCCGGTGGTGTTACTACTCTTATCGACATGCCCTTAAATGCTATTCCTCCTACTACAACTATTGATAACTTTAAACTCAAGCTTGATGCAGCCAAAGGTCAGTGCTGGGTCGATGTTGGATTCTGGGGTGGTATCATTCCTGGAAATGTTGACCAACTCGTACCTCTCGTGAATGCCGGTATTCGTGGTTTCAAGTGCTTTATGGCCGACTCTGGCGTCGAGGAATTCCCTATGGTGCAACGCTTTGATATTGAGCTGGCTCTCAAGACTCTCAAGGCTCAACCTACTCTCGTCATGTTCCACGCTGAAATTTGCAACGAGCATACTACCCCTCAACTTGACTTTGACAATATGGATCACTCTTGCTATGACTCTTTCCTCAAGTCAAGACCAGAAATCATGGAAGTTGAGGCTATCTCTACAGTCATTGAAGCCTCAAAAGTCGCACCCAACCTTCCCTTGCATATTGTTCATCTTGCTTCCAAGGATGCTATTCCCCTTGTCCGCAAAGCCAAGCAAGATCGTGTTAAGCTTACTGCCGAAACCTGCTTCCACTACCTGTCTTTTACAGCTGAAACTATTAAAGATAAAGCCACTCACTTCAAGTGTGTCCCCCCTATCCGCGAAGCTGAAGTCAACAAGCAGCTCTGGTCTGCTCTCAAGACTGGTGAAATTACATCCATCGTTTCTGATCATTCGCCATGCACACCGATACTTAAACTCCTTGATGAAGGCGATTATTTTAGAGCTTGGGGTGGTATTTCATCTGTCGGTCTTGGTCTCTCTATTCTTTGGACTGCTATCCAACTTGGTCACCCAGAGTTTGATCTTGTTGATGTTGCCCGTCTGACAAGTTACAATACGGCTTATCAGGCTGGTCTTATTGACACCAAGGGTTCTATCGACGTTGGGAAAGACGCTGACTTTTGCATCTTTGACGCTGACGGAACCCTGTTTGTTGATCAAACCCTTCTGCCGTTCAAGAACAAGCTCACTCCTTATCATGGTTCTCACCTTAATGGTCTCGTTGTTGAAACCATACTTCATGGTGAAACCATCTTCACTCATACCGCTGGCCACATTTCTGAACCTACAGGTCAACTCTTGTTAGAAAAGAGAACTTATTAAGGTTTTTTTTTTTATATTTTTGAGTTTAACTATTATTCATTTAATTATTTTTGGGGAGTTTTTTTTTTATCACATATTTGCTTTAGACTTTTGTATTTTTATAAATTTATTTAAATAAATTTTTTTAAAAAAAAAAAAGAAACAAAAAAAACTAAAAATAAATGTTGATCATAATCTGATAATAAATGACCAATATTTTAGAACAAGATATGCCTATTTGGAACTCTCTGTAGAATCCAGTAAATCGAGGTATTTCTACTATTATTGATAAAATCATTAAATGTCCTGTTATGTTATTAGGCGCCTTCGGACATTTCCGGGTATACGGATATAAAATTGGGAATTAAGGTGATGTAATATCTGAGTAAGGTCCCCTCCCATAGTATGAATAAACAGCTTTTAATTTTCATATAAACACTTCACTGGTACTAATACAGTAGTTCTTACAACAAATTTGCATTAATACTCTTCCAACTCAACGTTTTATTTCTTTTACCTTTTTTTTTTTCTTAATCAAATAAAAGAATTAATATGCTAAAACTTTGATTTCATTTGCACTGTTTTTTATTTTATTTTATTTTATTTTATTTTGCTTTTTTCTTTTTTTTTTCTTTGGTATTATGGAAATTTATTGCATAAAACGCATCCATAGTACAAGAAAATGATCACACAATGCCAATTCTTCCAGAATCAACGACCGTGTTGAATTTTATCATTATTGATATCTTTATTATCAAATTTAAAGCCACATTTACTGTTCAAACTTTTCAGTCGTCAAAACTTTCAACTAATCTTTTTATATTCTTTGAAGTTTTGGAATAGATATTAAGCTTATTATTAGTATTCTTTCAACTGTTTAAAACACGTTAAGAAGTTGTATGTTGTTGCTTAATCTAATCAGTTATCTAATTTAGTGTCTAAAGAAACCTCTGAAAACTGACTGTACTTTTACTTCTTTCTTTTCCCCCTCTCCCTTTTCTTTACCTTAAACTTCTATGAAAGCATTTAAGGAAGATCTATAAATGGACTATTAAATCCATATTTTTGGTCATATTTAAACTAAAAACTTAGCCACTATTGCTGTTAGATTACCATTTATTCGTCTTTTTTTTTTTTATATCGTCAGCCTTGTTTCTAATAATGTACCCAGTTAGCTGTATTTTTTTTTTTTTTTCATTTTACTAGTTATTGAACTATTAACGGCAAATCTTTTTAATATCTCTGAAATTTTCAATACTTTTACAAGTGATCTTTAAATTGTGTAGGCATTAAAGCTAATGACGCATTGTATTAAGTTGAAAGAATCTTCTTTTTCTTATTTTATTGACTAGTTTTGAAATTGGCATATATTTATTTAACAGGATTGACATTTAAGATCTTATTTGCGTTATAATACCATCATTGACTTACATTTATTTGTCTGGATATATAGATTCCAGTAAATCTAAACTCTTGTTAAGTAAAAAAAAAAAAAACTTTTTAAAAAATAATATGCGTCAGCCCGGAGTCGAACCGGGGGCTCGTCGATGGCAACGACGAATTTTACCGCTAAACCACTAACGCTTTAGAAAAATAAATTATAAAAAGTATATATCGACAAATGAATATCAAGTCACGTGATTAAACACTATACTTTCCTTAATTTTGTTTGAAGTTACTCTTGAATAGAAATAAACAAACAATGTTGTTGAAGTTAAATTAAAAGTTTATCGTAAAAAAAAATGGAAATTTATATATTAGGAGCAAAAAAAAAACCTATGACACCAATACTGACTGATATTATATATTTCGATAATCCTTAAACAAAAAACAAACAATTTTTTTTCTATGTTATTTTAATAATTTTGAGTATAATCTTATCTTCCTCGTCTACTTTTAGAATCAAATGTTTAGTTCGTTCACTAGAAGATGCTTGTAACACACCAATTTGTTTTTTTTTTTTTTCTTTTTTGTTAATATCATATAAAGAGATTTCAAATTAAAATACTATAATATATATATATATATATATATATATATATATATATCACTAATCAAATCAATACTATTTATTTTTTTTCTTTTTACCAGCCATTCAAGGAAATAAAACAGCTTGCAAAAAAAGTTAACAAAGGCTAATAACTAAATGGTCCATAATCAACATAAATTTTATTAATCTTCTTTGAATGGTAGCGTTTTGCAATACTTGTTGATAATGGTAGGCCCTCATCATCTTGTTGATACAACTTCTTATTCGAATCAAATTCATCTCCCATTGTGAACTTTTCAAGACGAACATTCTTTCCATTTTTGTCCTTGTATTCCATAACAAAAGAAAGATCCAATCCAAACCAAAATTTTGTGTTATCATGAAGGAAAAACACAGGTGCAATCACTTGTGACAAGGGCACGACAACATACTGAGGTTCAAATAACGAACTATCTTTTGTGTGCGTCAAATTTACATTGGTATAATGGCCAGCAGTGACTGTATTTTGCGAAGCATTGGAAATCTTAAGGCTTTTGAGCTGAACTCTAATTGGCTTCACGACCCCAGGTACCAATTTCTTGATAATGACAAAACTCTTAGAAGGTCCAGGAAGTGTACTTGACTCATTGGAATTAATTGTAATAAAGGCTTGTGCATAGCCAAATTGAGATGGTGAGGAGTTTTCCACGGGTTCTTCAACAAATCTCAGGCAGTCATCAAAACTAGCAGTAGCCTCTAGAGTTAAAAACCTAATGGTTTTGTAATACCTCATAGAATGGGTTGGGAAATCAAAGTTGGGGGTTTTTTCCTTCAAAAGACGGTATTTCGAAGAAGCCAAATATAGCTTCAAATAAACGTATTCAAACTGATCATCAAACTTGACTGATTCAGCCCATCTATATTTAGCACCAATTTGGCCAAGACTTTCAGCAAGTTGCAGCGTGTTAAAGTCAAGAATATCAGGCATAGACATCAGATATTCATTAATTGCATCAAATGCTTTTGAATAACTAAAATCAAAATTCCCGTAATTTATGATAGCTTTGGGTAGATGAATAAGACTGTGAAGAAAAATACTTAGCTCAGGTAAATGATGGTAATCATTTTTCACAATATATTTTTCAAATAACTTGAAAAGTTCAGGAACGCTCTTATCAAAGTCATTAATCAAGGCTCTGGGGTATTTTTCCATAAATGCAACCTTATATAAAAGTGCTTCCTCACTAATAAAACGTTTGTTGACACTCGGGATTCCGGAGAACTGATAAACCGCAAAGATTATATCCAAGAAAGTAAAACACTGGTCTTCACCCATGTCATATCTCCTATCAGGTTCTATATAAGCCTTGGATTTCTCAATCAAATCTTCAATATCAAAAGTTACTCGATTAATCTTATTTCTAAAAGTTAACTGGTTTGCATTCTCCATGATACTTAAAAGCTTTGATCTTTCTGTAGAATTGAGTCTGAAACTTGATATATTAGTAATTCCAAACAAAAATAAAAATATCTGGAAAACGTTAAACTTCATAAAATGCGAGGGATTTGGAAGGTGGATATTTTCAATGGAGCATGAGCCTAACGTGAAAAACTTTAATGGGGTCATAAATCCATTCCCCATGCAGAATTCATCAAATGTTTCTGATTTACCAGTACCATAATTAGACCTAGTGGTTCCAAAAACGAATTTTGTAGAGCGTGGAAAAGTAGTGAACCTATCACCGTATGGTGGGTAATGACAAGGAATTCCCACGTAGTTAAAGAGAGTTACACCATGGTGACTAGGACTTGGGAACATTAATGTTTTAATTGGGCAATCGCGACATTCGAAAAAGGAACGGCGTAAACCAATACCAACCACATTTTGGGAAGTGTTGAAGTCAGAAGAAACTCCGACAACGTGGGTACGAACGGTAACATTCTTTTTAATAGTAGAATCGTAAACAGTATAACCAACAGTACTAGCTTCAGCAAAATCTTCAATTAAAGGAATTAAGGCGGTGTTCCAATCAAATTTTAAAGCTGAGAAAGACGGCAAGATGCTTATGATGTGAACGTTTCCATTTCTGTACCGTTCTTCGTAAGGAAGATTGAGACAAACAGCGCTTACAATAACAGATAATTCATTTTCGTAAATCCTGGCAGTAGTAATGTTAATAGCAATTGCAAGTTCATTTTCGTCTTGGAAATATTTGCGGTCAATCTTTTCTTTATAATTAGCGGAAAAGGAAGGGTTATTGATTTTGGTTTGTCTAAGCTTCATGAAAACATCACTATCAAAAAAGTCACAAATATTATGGGGGTCTCTTGCTCTTTTAGTTCTTGATTTCAAAGTATGTGCAATACTTGGAATTGAATACCATTCTCTAACTTTTTCTCTAAGTGAAGAAATTATGAAGCTCTTCGATTGTCTAGTTGGTGTTCCGCACTTAGGGCATTCTAAGGGAGGCGTTACAAATTCTCCGTAAGCAGAACATCCCTGATGACAATAATGAACGGTTTGATAGTGAGTAGACCAATCCCCCCGTCTTCGAATATTTGGGTCATTAGGTGTCTTGATTTCGTTAGGAAATAAGTCGGATAGATTTTCCTCGAGAGGAAGGGGTGCGCTCAAAATCTCACTTGGATCTTTGGAATTTACAGCTTCCATAAAATTAAATACATTGGGATCATCAGAACTAGTGTGACTTGTTTTCAAATAAACATCTTTTAACTCAAATACTTCTCCAAGATTTGATGGACTCATAACTATTTCAGTCCAAGAAACTTTCATGTCTCTAAAAGTACGAGAAAGTTTATTCCTAAGTAAATAAACATAAGAGGTGCGGGCAATAGAAGATTCATAATATACATTACGAATCTCCTCTGCAGGAGGTTCCAATTCTATGACTTTGCCCTCGTGTAACACATGCAAAGGCATTGGAAAGCAAGAAATGGTTATATCAAATAAAAAAAAAAAAAAAAATTAAAAAAATGAAAGGGGTTGTTTGTTTTTGTTGTTGTAGTACTGAAAAAAAAAAATAATATACTATAATGGGTTAGGGTATCTCCACAAAGGCATATCCACAAAAAAGAACACTAATTTCTTGCACTTATATATAGCGCTCGCTAATTAATGATTTTTAAATCAACCAGATAAATATTTTATCGGTGGGTGCTCTGAAGGTTTCAATCAAAATAAATATTTAAATAAATTTATTAAATAGTAACCAATATATATATATATGGTATTCCTTTTAACTTTTTTACTTAGAATGGGTCTATGATTTTGGATGTCCCTCTTAGTACTTTTCATATAGATTCCTATCTTGATTAATCAAGATTTTAATATTAAAATCTTTGACCGTAGAGATTTGAATAATAAGTTTTATTTCAATTATTGGCTTGGCAATTTCGGGTAAAACCTTGTTTATGGTGATAAATTGTATGAAACACCTGTATTATTTGCTATATATTCAGAATCTATAGATACAATAGCTGAATTGAAAAAGCAGAGTTAAGTCACATACTTTTTTAATCAAATCTTAAGCAGTCTTCAAGGATAGTGGCAGGTTACTGGGAAAAAAGAAACTTGGTAGTCTTATGAAAATTTATAGATATAAACTTGACTGTGAAGGCAACATTAGATATTTGATTTTTTTTTTTTTTTTCAAACTAAGGTACTTTAATGTTTTGAAATATTTCTTTGATTCATTTTAAAGAAACTGATCAAAAATATTGTTGTATTATTTCTTCTGTATGTAAACTGATTAAAAGAGATGAAGAGAATCAGTCAATTGCCGTAAAATATATGTTTAAAAGATTGTCATTTTTTTTTGGGTTTTTTTTTTTTAACTAGTCATTAATGGTTAATATCAAGAATTATGTTAAAGGAAGGAAGTGAAAAAAAAAAAAAATAGGAAAATTAAAGATTAATATTTACTCATAGTCTCAATCTGTGACTTTAGAAAGAAAAGAAAAAAAAAAGCTATGCATGAGTTTTCAGAAGAAGTTTTATTTTAAATTTTACATGATTAAATTGTTCATTACTTCAAATATGGTTGACCTGTTTAATCATACCTAACAAGCTATGATAAATCGATGGGCATAAATCTGAATTCCATAATAAAAGAAAAAAAAAATCCTAATAATATCACAATTTGAATCACATTAAAAGTCATATATTGTGTTTTTTGGTTTTTTTTATGAGATTATTTTCCATAAAAAAAAAAGATTTTTTTACAGTTTAACTTGGCTGACCTTTAATATTCATAAATGTTGGTATGGTATCCGGCAAATTGTAAATACAATTATATAAACTTAAATGACAGATTTCCGAAAGTGATTAAAGCCACTAGGGGTATTTATATATTAGTGAAGATGTGACCTTTTTATTGAATATATATCTATCTTTGTATTCAATAATTGAAATTTCATAATCAAAACATTCTTTTAAAGTCTTAAAAATCATAAAGTCATAAAGATGTTAAAAGGAATGAATGTCTTTAATGAAACTAAAAAAAAATGTAAACTGAATTTTTTTTTCTCCCCTCATATTTGAAATGAATTTGTAAAAAATATCAGTTTAAAAAAAAAAGTATTTAAAGTCTGGAAAAAATAAGTTCTGAGAAGTGACTTTTATTATTTTTTTTATATACTATTTAATCAAAATTTTTAATTTAAAAAAAAGCAAAAGATTAACAATTTTTGTTAAAGGAAATTTAACGAGCAAAAACAGGGAAGCCAATGTCGTTTTGGCCATAGGTATCGACCAGGTCTTCATCACGCTTAGCCTTGATGAAACCGTGGGAAGCCCAAGAAGGATTCTGCTCAACCAAAACGTTTCCAAAGAAGTCCTCAACCTCCTTGATACCCTTAGTGTTGGTATCAGCAACGAGTGAAACGTAGCCATCAGGTCTAACCACCAGAATAGCACCAGTCTCAGGGCTAATGCCATACTTCTCGTAAATCTTGCCGTGACCTTGGTGATAAGAAGGCTCATCAGTGTAGATGCTCCAGTAGTCCATGCGGCCATCTTCATCTCTGTGTCTGAAAGCCTCAGGGTAATCAAACCACTCATAGGATCTTCTGTCAGAAGAGCTGACCAAGATGGGATCAATGACAGAGAAAAGCTGAGCAGAAGCAGGAGTGTACTTTTGAACAAAAGAGTCCTTGGAGAGGAGGTAGTCGCTGAGCTCTTTGCCAAAAGCGGCAGCCTTTTCGTTCTTAGCGACATCACCAGAGAAGAAAATGAGTCTCCATCTGCCATCAGACTTCATGCGATCAGCAAGCCAAATGGGTTTGGCATCAGAGTAAGTGACGACCTTGGCGTGGTCCAAGCGGCGACCCACGGGGACATTTTTGGCCAAAGGATTGAAGTATTGAGCACGGAACTCAAAGGCTTGAAGACCCTTGGAGCCTTCGTCAAACTTCTCCATTTCAGTATCAGGCTTGCTGACAATCATTGAAGGAGTGTAGTCAACAATGGTACCAGAAGCAAATTCATTGCCCTTCTCAAAGACTTGGTGGAACTCAGAGAGGGAGATACCGCCCTCACCGGGCTTACCAGAAAAGAGACGGGAAAACTTGTAGTCAAAGTTGATAAGATCGCGAGCAACTTGGCGACGTTCTGCCTCATAAGTGGCAAGAATTTCAGGTTTGGCAATGCCCTTGACAACTTGGGCGACCTTCCAAGCAAGGTTATAGGTATCCATCATGGAAACGTTCATACCCTGACCAGCCTTGGGGGAGTGAGTGTGGCAAGCATCACCTGCAATGAAGACACGGTTGTCCTTGTGGAACTTGGGGGAAACGCGCTGGCCAATCTGGTAAGCAGTGTACCACTTAGTGTCAATAATGTCAAGCTTGTAAGGGTGGAAGATCTTTCTAGCGTTCTCAAGAATGAGTTCAGGAGTGATTTTAGAGCGGTCGACACGGCCCTTCTTTTCAGCATCATCATCGGCACGAGGGGTTTCTCTGAGCTGGATGTAAAGGCGGACAAGGCCATCTTCACGGGGGATAATCATGATAGAGCCGGAATCCTTAGAGTGGATAGCACATCTATTGCGAATATCGGGGAAATCGGTAATAGGGACGGTATCCAAGACACCCCAGATATAGTCACTAGTTTCACCTTCCATTTCGATTCCAATCTGCTTGCGGACCCAAGAGTGAGCGCCATCACAGCCAATGACGTATTTGGCATGGATGGTTTCAATTTCGCTGTCATCTTCAACCTTGAGATCTTTATCGCCATCAAATTGGCGGAAAAGACCGTTAGCAATCTTACCGCCAAATTGTTCTGGGTTAGCATCATCATCGGAAAGAGTCTTGACCTTGACTGTAACTGGGTAAGCGTCTGTGTCGTTAACCTTGGATTCATCAATGTCAATAGAGAGGGGGAGCTTAGGGCGTTCAACCTGAAGGGTGTCCTGGGACCACTTCTTGATGGAATCGGTCATCCATTGTTCGATTCTGCCTTGGTGAAGAACGACTTGCTGGAAACGAGAGATACCAACAACGGTATCAGGGATGCGGTTAGATCTGATGATTTCGCCCTTGTCATTAGGTTCCCAGAAGCAGATTTCAAGCATGTGGTTAGCTTCCTTGATGGCACGGTCGCCAAATCCGAAAGATTGAAAGACTTCGAGGGTACGGCACTAAAAAGGTTTTTGAGTTAGATGAGTGAACTGACCAGATATTTTTAGATATTATTATTATTATACTTACTTGCAAACCGTCAGCTTGACCTGCAAAAATCTTGTTTCCTCTCTTGTCGATGATACGAGCGTTAACACCTGTGCGAGCGAACCAGGTGGCAGCCATGTAACCGGCAGGGCCAGCGCCAATGATTAAAACGTCAACGTTTGATTCTTTAGAAGCCATTTTGTTTTTGTTTTTTTTAATTTTTGATTGATCGAAGGATTGATATTTTTTTTAAAAAAAGAAAAAAAAAGAAAAAGTTGATTGAATATATATAATAGAAAAGTAAAAGATAATGATGATGATAATAGAAATAAAAAAAAAATTGAAATAAACCTTGGGAAACAAGATCTTTAAATAGTTTAGAAAGATTTAGGGAAAGTGGACTTTAATTTTTTTTTTTTTTTTTTCCTTGGACTATTTTAGAAGGGGGGGCATATTAAAAAGGGAAGAAATTTACATAGAAGAATAATAATAATAATAAGAATAATAAGAAGAACATATTTAGGTCTTGTCGGGTGTCTTTGAACAATAAAATAAAAGAGTTTGGAAGTTACCGAAAAGAAGCCAAAATAAAAATAAATAAATAAAACCTGGGGTAAATCTTTTCTTTCATTACTATTTTTTTTTTCTCCACAGGATTAAATTAAGGGGATGGAAAAAAAAAAAATTTAAATATATAATAAAAATGATATATTTTAGGTTTTTTTTTTTTTTTTTTTTAATTTTTTTGTGACAGAGTCAGAATTCCGATGGTAGAAGAAGGAGGGCGGGGTGGATGGACTGGTTAGTTGGCAGGTTAAATGATTGGAATTATTTTGTTAATAATAATAATAATAATAATTTGTTAATAATAATAATTAGAAGAAATAGGAATTTTTCTTTTTTTTTTTTTTTGTCCGAGATGGAAGATTCTTAAGAGGATATATGACTTTTTCTTTGAAGTCGGTATTACCAAATAAAATATATATAAATATATTAAATACTACTACTACTACTACTACTACTAATAATAATAATAATAATAATAATAATAATAATAATAATAATAATAATACTATGATTTTCATTCACAAGTATGTAAGTAAAAGATCCATTTTCTATATAAATCTATCAATCTACAGTATTATAATTAATTAAAAGCGGGTGTATGTCATTTGAGTTATTGTAAAGTAAGTTAAAGTAAAGTAAATTGAATATATATATATATATTTTTTTGTTAAAAAAGAAATAAAAAAAAAAGCGGTAACTACAAGTTTAATATGAAGGGGAAAGATATAAGGGAGGACCAAAATAGAGTTTTTTTTTAAAATGTGGGGTAGAAAAAAAAAAACAAAAAAAAAGCCAATTAATAACAATGAAATTTATTTTATTAAGAAAGATATTTTAAAATAAAAATTATATAATTATATAATAATAAATTTAATAAATTTAAAAAAAGCCATGTGCTTAATAAATTACTAAGCCCTTTTTCTATTCTTTATATAAGAAAAAAAAAAATAAATAAAAATAAAAATAAATTTTAGTTCGGAAATAAGTCCAAACAACTATAGCGGCATTCTGTCACTACAAACACTTGGCCCACCCCCCTCCATATATATATATGTCATACACACAGTAGTTAACTATATACATTCTAGCCGCCCCCACAAAATATTACGTAATATATTTTTAATTTTTCATCTGTCCCTTCTCTCTCTCTCCCCCCACATTGTGACTTATTCCGGCTGTCCATACCCTGTTTTTATTTTTTTTTTTTTTTTTTCACGGCATTAAATTTTATATACTTCCGAAAAAAAAAAAATTAAAAAGATATTCAATTAGGATTCTATGATTAATAAAAAAAAAAAAATTACTATTTTTCCATTATATATTATATATATTAGTTACTATACTAATACTAATACTTTAGATACCTCTTATCCGCATTAAAAAAAAAATGAAAATGAAAATGACTTTAAAAGAATATTTATATATCCATTCTTATTATAATAAACAACATTCTTTTCTTAAGTTAATGAAAGAAGAAGAAGTAAAAAAAATTTTAAACCAAATAAACACTCCGGGGCTAATGTTCTTTTACTCCGAACTTAACAAGTCTGTATTTACTTAATTACTTACGTTTTTAAGGGCTGCATATTGGAATATCATTTTTTTTTTTTAAGAAAGAAAAAAAAAAACAATATATATGGTGGGAAAGTATCTATATATGGAAGATTTCGGTTTTTTTTTTCTTTTTTTTTTCTTATAAAAGCTTCTCCAACCACCTATAATATTTTTAAATGTTTAAAATATATATATATATATATATATATAATATTTAATAATAACAAGGTACATTTTTCCGTGTACTATTTTTTATTCTATCTCTCTCTCTCTCTCTCTCTCTCTCTCTCTCTTTAAAAAATAATTCTTGACAGTTAAATATTTCAAGAATCTATCACTCTCTTTTTTCACTGGTCAAAAATATGAAATAATAATAATAAATGGACCAAAATAATGGAATATTAAAATAATGGAAGAATAATCATCATTTCAAATTAAATCTTTATCTTTTTTTTTTTTTTTTTTTTTTTTTGCTCTATATTTTAATGAAATAAACACATTGCTATATAGTTTCAAAAAAAATAAAAAAAAAAAACCTTCAATCAAGTAAATATAGATTTTTCAAGTTTAGTGAAAGTTTAATATTATATGAAAAAAAATTAATCAAATAGAATAGATTAAATATATATATATATATATATTCTAAATTCAAGTATTTACTAGAAGTTCATATCATAACTAGTAGATCAAACAAGTTTACCTATTTCTTTTTATTTATTTTTTATTTTTTTATCTATGCTAATATTTAAAAAAAAATTAATAAATAAATAAACTTCATGTTAATCATCTAGCCTAAAGCCACTCAAAAATTGATCCAGAATTCAACTTTTTTTTTATTATTTTTGTTTGGACGGCTATTTGGTTCAAATCTTGCGAGGGGAATATTAACAAAGCATACTAATTATTATTATTATTATTATTATTATTATTTCTATTTCTATTATTTCATTGTAAGTAAAAATGGTAAAATGTTTTGTTTTGTTTGGGAAAAATATATTTTTATATAAATAAATAAATTTTTCTAGGCCTCTTTTTTTAACCATTTTGCCGAATGATTTGTTCCAAAAATAATAAATAAAAATAAAAATAAAAAATTATAGTGACAGGTTTATTTTGGTTACTTTTTAATGAACCCTGGATCATATTTATTGATCTCTGTTAAAATGATTGGTGGAGCTTACTAAAATCAAATTATTTTGATAAAAAAAAAAACTAAAGAGACCTTATCGTTTTTTTTATTATTCTAAATAAATATACTTATCAAGTCAATTCAATTCAATTAAATTAAATTTAAAATACAAGGTTTAACTATAGATGGATCCGGATATCTGTTCAATCATCAGAAATATATATATATATTTGACTATGATGTATATTAGAGATTTGAAATATATACTGTTGAGAAAATATGACATTCATCCGTGAACAGTAAAAATAAACTATATATATTTAAATTGAATTGGAAATTGAATATTTTTATTTTTTATTTCTATTTTCTTTTAATAACTGTTTTGTCTTTATTCATATGTTATATAGAACTATATATATATATATATATATATATATATATATATATATATATCATCAGAATACCCTTTATCTTGATAATTGCTTCAATTTAATAAGTTACCCTTGTTTTTGGGTGTATCTTTGAACTTTACTTCAATGTTTGCATCTCCAACAATCTGAAAAAAAAAAAAAGCATGTCCTGATATTAGTAAAGAAACAAAAAAAAAAAAAAACAGAAAAATCAAAGACCAAAACCACACTTAGCTTATTTTCATTTCATTTACATTCATGCATGGATTCTTGTATATTTCTTAATCCCTTAATCAAGGAATAAAGTTTGAAATTACCTTCAAATAAATTATACCTAATGGAAGATGGATTTGTTTTTTCTTGTTGGCAAGAATAGTCAAAAAGTTAAGCTTATTATTTTTTTTTTTTATAATTTTCTAAAATCATTGAGTCTCCTTATTTTCAAAAAATACCCTTTAACTCTACTTCCACAATTATTTCTATCGCCAATTGTTTGAAAATAATTTCAAATACCTGATTACCTTTATAATTTTTATAATTTTTTTTTTCCAGCATCAAACATTTGACCAGAATTTTCCTACTTGTTTCTAGTTCGCCACACCTACAATATTTATGCTATTTAAAAAATTGTGTTCCAGTTGCAATGGTCATTTTAATATTATAAACTTTCATGTCTGTTCGTTTGTCTGTCTATTTTCCTTCAAAAGCTATAAATTTATATATATATACCATCAGCATCAACATCAGCATCAACATCTACATCTACATTATCCTTTTTGGTTCTTATTATACCTTTCTGTTTTTACAATAAACATTTAATTTTGACTTCAACATTGCATTTCCAACAACTCAAAAATAAGCCCTGATGCCAGCTTACAAAGAACAAAGAGTCAAAAAAAAAAAAAAAACTAAACCTTTACAACCAATTTTAACTTATCTTCATCAACGTTGTAATTGTAAGTCTTAATCCCCTCAAGCATGGATAAAGCTTAAAATCTATTGCAATCCACTTAAACTGTTTAAGAGAGTCGACATGTCCATCTCTAAAGATATTCATTTACATTCAATTCATTATTTGTCCAAGAAAGAATACTGAACCAAAATGTGTCTAACTGTTTCCAGCTCTCCACATTTGCACTTATAACTATCCTTTTCAATTTAAAACTTTTTAAGCCATGCACCAAAATGGCCATGGTATGTGCAAAATTGAGTAATGTTACTCAAGATCCTCCAACTCTCCTTCACTACAATCACTACTATGACTATTTTCTAAAAAAACTCACTAAATTTTAATCTTTGTGTGATATTCTGCTATGTAACGTTTGTTTGTATTTTATATTCTATTATAAAAACTTTGTTTGTTTGTCTTTATTCAAGGGTTATAGAATTATATAACATCAGCATCTGCGCTATCCTTCTTGTCCATACTATATATCTTTTCATTTTAATAATAAACTTTTAATTTTGCCTTCAACATTGCATCTCCAACAGCCCGAAAATAAATCCTGATGCCAGCTTACGAGGAACAGGGGGTTAAA